TGTTAATCTTCCATCTTTAAATTTAACAGAAAACTGTACAATTTCTTAATCAAATTGTCATCTGATGACAATAGTATCTGGTCAAACGCTGTCTGAACTTTGTAAAAACCATATATTTTTGCATCTTTCTCGTATCTCATTTGCAAATGTGTCCACCATGATAGCTCTATGCCCTGTTCTTCCAATTCTTGTTTAGTTGTGGTTTCCCATCAGTATTCAAAATATCTATATAAGTCACAAATTTTTCATAATTAATTAAATTTGGGTGTACAAACGCCTCCATTGTCGAAATCCATCCTGGTATTTTCATGTAAATTCTCGATTTTATCTTTTCCCATGTCAAAAGCAATGCATTTCTTACATAGTGGTTTTGAAAGTATTTATGAATTTTGTTCTTCCCATACCATAGAAAGGCATGCCATCCAAGTTGTAGGTCATGCCCCTCTAAGTATAATAATCTTTTGTTTCTAAGGGTTATCCATTCTTTTAACCATGTTAGTGCAGCTGCTTGATAGTACAAAACCCAAATCTGGTAGCCCAAAACCTCCAAAGTAGTTTTGGTAGGATGTTCATTTTCACAGTCGCTATTCTTCCCAAAATTGATAGTTGTAGATTTGTCCATTTTTTCAGGTCTAGTTTTATTTGTTTTAGTCATTTTACATAGTTGTCTTCTTTTATTGTTGCATACCTTGCTGTTAGATATATCCCCAAGTATTTAACTTTCTTAACTACTTGAAGGTCTGTTTTTTCTGACAATTGGTTTTTTTGTTTATCTGTAAGATTTTTAACTATAACTTTAGTCTTTTCTCTATTTATTTTCAGTCCTGCTACTTCTCCAAATTCTTCGATCTTTGCTAATAATTTAGGACTTGTCTCCAACGGATCCTCTAATATAAATACCAAATCATCCGTGAATGCTTATAATTTGTACTTTTCGTCTTTTATCTCTAGGAATGGTCCTGATTCTTTGCACCTGACATTATGTCTTGTCATTATTGACAAGAATCCAATCAACTAACAGTCAGCACTACATTGGCACTAGATAAGGGTTAATGGGATTCATGGGAGGCTGGACTTGGATCTCTTGTGGCAATGCAAGGACTCTAAACTGATGTGTTTAACTTCACCCCTGGCTGTGCCTGCCCTTCTACACAAATCCCCAGAAGATCCTCATGCCCTTTAGCAACATTGTTCAGTTGTGCACTGTGCCTACAGGTAGTATTCAACTTACAACCATTCATTCAGTGACCATTTGAAATGGCGACTGTGCTGAACGAAGGGTCTTACAAACTGCCCAAAGTTATAGCTGTTGCAGCACCCTTGCAGTCATGTGAACAAAATTTGGGTGCTTGGCAGCCCAACCACAGTTACAACTGCAGGGGCAGTGCAACTCTCTTCACCCGCCTGTCTCCTTCCCATCCAGCCCACCAGTGCACAGAAAATGTTCTGCAGCCCAGGAGGTCTTGGCCAGCTATAGGGCCCACTGGTGCACAAAAATCTGCCATGGCCCAGGTGGCCTCAGCTACCTAGCCTACCAACATGTGCAAAGCTTCTCACTTAACTTCATGTTTTTTCTTCAGCTGCTGTCAGGCACATGCAACCTATGTAAGGTGCACCCTTCCTACCAAGGCCACCTCATGACATTCTCCAAGCAGTCTCCAATTTTTCCGTGTGTTGGGGGGCCCTGTAGCCAACGGAGACCTCCTGGGCCATGGCAGGTTTCCATGGATTGGTGTGCTATGTATCTTGTGCTGGGCCTCCCCCACCCCCCTGATGTACCCCCACATCCCTTACCTCGGATACTGGCCCATGAGATTGCTTAACAACCACAACCAAGAGTTCCAGGATTGCGGTCACATGTGACATCTTGCTTAATAATCACTTCACTCAACAACTGAGATTCTGGTCCCAATTGTGGTCATAAGTAGAGGACTACTTGTATTTATATTGAATAGTCCTACAGGTAGTCCTTGACTTACACCCACGTGACCGCTTCACTCAAGAACTGCAATTCCAGCTCTCCCAGTTGCAGTCATCAATTGGACACAGTGAAAGAGCTGCCTGCTGAAGGAGGGCAGGCAGCTCCCCTCTGTGTGCAGAAAGGAACTTGTGCACTGCTCTGGAGAAATGAAGTGGGGAATGTGAAGATCCCTGCTTCGTCTCTCCAGCCCAGTGCACGAATTCCTCCTCCACCATGCGTGGAAAGGAATTTGTGCACTAGACTGGAGAGGTGAGGTGAGGATCACGAAGATCCCCACTTCGTCTGTCCAGCCCAGTGCACCCCAGTCTCTCCCCTCCTCATCCAGAAGGAACTCATGCACTGGGCTGGAAAGACAAGACGGGATCACAATGATCCATGCTTTGTTTCTGCAGCCCAACAAAGGATTTCCACTCACACCTCTTGTATGGAAGGGAGGGGAAATCCTTCAGCAGGCAGCAGCAACTTGCAATCTTCTCTGCCAGCTTCCCTACTGACTTTTTGGGGAAGCTGGCAGAGAAGATTGCAAATGGCAATCCCATGATTGTGGGGTGCTTGGCAACTAGTCTTAAGTGTGAACAGGTTACCCAGATCACAATCACGTGACTGCACAGGGGGGATGGAGCAATGTTTTATGATGACCAGAAGTGTGTTAAAACAGGGCTTTTCAACCAGTGGTACACGTACCACCAGTGGTACTTTGGCACATGGCAGGTGGTACGCGACCCTCCTAGACAAGTGTAGTGGGGGAGGGGAATGAGCTGAAGCGACCCAAGCCTGAGGGAGAGGCAGCTGGAGCTGCAGGACTGTCTGGGCTTAGCAGAAGCCCCAGGAGCGCTGCAGGGCTCCAGCTGATTGGCGCTTCCATAGCTGGAGATGAACTGAAGAGAAAAGGAGGGGGGGAGAGGAGAGGATATAAAAGGAGGTGGTTTTGGCGGGAAAGGGGATGGAGAAGGAGCTGTGGAAGGAGACCTCAGCAGGCAGGGAGGAAAAAGAGACAGGGAAGAAGAAACTGTTGCTGAAAGAAAAGGTCCCCTGGTTAGTTTTCTCCAGCCAGGAGAACGCAATCAGCGCTGATGAAATGAAAAGCCGGGAGACGAGCATGTCGGAAAGGAGGTTGGTTTATTTAGTTCTGGGTCAGCTGGCAGCTTGATTGGGTTACCATAAGGATTTTTGTGCAGTTTTTACAGCGTTTAGTAATTCAGAGGCTCGGTTTGTGTGCTTTGGTTATTGGAATATTTTAGTCTGTTTCACAAAGGCTAGCAATAAGTCCAAAGTGTTGGCTTCCGTAGGTTTAATCCCTTTAAACAAATGTAATTAGTTTTACCCCCTTATCTTGAGTCTGTCTATGGCTTTTAGCAAGTTTTCTTTGTAGGTAAACAGGCTTAATTTAAGGTTATCACTTTTTGCAATTGCAGGAGCCTTTCAGGCTCGGGTTGCAACATTGTGACACGCCTGAGGCAGTTTAAAGGAAAAAAAATGGAGTTTAGTGTTTTTTTATTCTGGGAGGCTTTTGTGAGCCTTTCTTGCTTTGCGCTTGATTCCTGTGTCTTTAAGGGTACAGTGAAGGGACTGTGTGTGTGTGTGTGCATTCTTACTACACTGTGGAAGGAGAGGAGAGGGAGAGAGGGAGAAGGGCCGACCAGCCAGCTGGTAGTGGTGCATATTAATAAATATGGATAAATCCATCGTACATTTGTCAGCGCAAAGGGAAAGTGATTCAGCAAAGTAACTGCCACCGAAGAAATTAAAACCAGTACTTTTTTCTTTTTTTCTACAGTTTGTAACATTTTATTAGATTATAGAATAAAATACAAAAATACAAAAGCAAATAGTAGGACACAGTGGGGAGGAAAAAGGGGGAAAAAGTGAGGGGGAGAAGGGAAAAAGAAAAGAAAAGGCATTGACTTCCGACTTCCTCTGTTGCAGTAGAACAGTGTTTCTCAACCTTGACAATTTTAAGGCATGTGGACTTCAACTCCCAGAATTCCACAGCCAGCATTGCTGGCTGTGGAATTCTGGGAGTTGAAGTCCACATGCCTTAAAATTGTCAAGGTTGAGAAACACTGCAGTAGAAGGAAGCATTAACACTGAACCTCAACTTTTTACTTTTCCATAATATTATAAACTAGCCATTCCTATAACAACAAATGAATCTAATCAGTAAAACCCACCCACCCCCTCCTTGTTTTTAGTCATCAGGTTTTTGACACCTTGCTAAGCACTGGTGGTACTCAAATATTGTTATGTCCTAAAAGTGGTACAATATGTGAAAAGGTTGAAAAGCCCTGTGTTAAAAGACTGGTCCCTGATCTCCCTTCCTTCCGCCGCGCCCTCAAGACATGGTTGTTCCAGCTTGCGGGACTGGCCTAAGGGATTTTAAAGGGGTTTTAATTACTTTTAATTAGATCACAGTTAAATATTTCGTTTTAATTAATTTTAACAGGGGTTTTGTATTTTTTGTATTTTAATTGATTGTTAGCCGCCCTGAGTCCGAAAGGAGAAGGGCGGGATATAAATGTAATTAAATAAATAAATAAATAAATAAATAAATTAAGGACTGCCTGTATTCCACAAAGTTTGAAACAAACCAATTTCCCATCATGTATACCATAGTTCAGGGGTCTTCAAACTTGGCCCTTTTATGACTTGTGGACTTCAACTCCCAGAATTCCTCAGCCAGGCACGCTGGCTGAGGAATTCTGGGAATTGAAGTCCACAAGTCATAAAAGGGCCAGGTTTGAAGACCCCTGCCATAGTTGATAAGAAAAATGCTCTGTGTATACTCAAATCAGCTGCTTACTTTTTCACCTGCTTCCTCAATTAATATTTTCACTAGTGTGTTATAGATATTGTTTGAAGCATCTGCTGAGTAAAAATCTAGTTCTTGGCTCATTTATCTAGCCTAGAAAGTTCTGGAGTGCTTTAGTTGTACAGTACTTGCAGTTCGGTAAGAATAGCAAACCCTAAAAACAATTCTGTGTCCTTCACCACTGAAAAATTTCTCTCTTGTTTTAATCAGGTGCCCCTAAGAAGGAAGTATATTTCATGGCCATTATAGATATCCTTACACCATATGACACAAAGAAAAAAGCAGCGCATGCTGCCAAAACTGTGAAACATGGGGTAAGAAGGAACTATTTATTTTCTTTGTCCTCAGCATGCTTAGCCAAGCAATTCCATGTTTCATAATATGTTTCAGAACAACTGAAGCCACAGTTGGCTGAGCAGTGATGCAAAATTGCTGGAGGGAGGCAGGGATGGAACTGTTTCATACATGCATTGATGGGGCTGCGCTTTCCATGAGGTTTGGGGGGGGGGAATTTTTCTTTCAGTATATTATACTTGTTTGGGGTTACACTAGAGTTTTTACTTGTTTATCACTCAAAATGATAATAGTTTTTCAGGAGGTCTGGTTGCAGAGGGCTCTAGAATTTGCAAAAAATAATGAAAAGTTGAGATAGACATTTTGTTCAATAAAAGCCATATACAGCCAGAGAAACTCAGGTTGTCCACCTCTACATCAGATATTAGGTTCCAATGGTTCACGTATATGCGGATCACCATTCTGATTATCATTTAAGCAAGATCCATTACAATCTTTCATTTTCTAATCATTTTGGTTGTCATTTTCTGACCATTCTGCAGCTTTCAACTGTACACATCAGGAATATTTTAATGTAACCACACCACAGATACATTTTGATATGATTTTTCTGTTGCTGTTGTTCGGTCTTCTGTTTCTGTCTATTCCTATGGTTTTTTCTCCCACAAGGTACACCCTTTCAGTGAAGGTCTTGCCAGTGTGCATGACTTCCCTCTTAAATAACCTTGTCCAGTTCAGCTCTGCCCATCAGGGCTTCATCATCCAAAGCCATAAGTTAGAGCAGGGCTTTTCAACCTTTTTACCAATTGTACCACTTTGAGGATATGGCAATATTCGAGTACCACCTAGCAAGGTGTCAAAAACTTGATGACCAAAAAAAAAAACCTGTTCAAAGTTGCAATTGCACTGAAATGACTTATCACCATTTTTCACACTTAATGACCATTGCAGCATGCCCAGTGTCATGTGATGTATATTTGGATGCTTGGCAACTGATTCATATTTATAACGATCACAGTGTTCCAGGGTCATGTGATCCCCTTCTGCAACCTTTTGACAAGCAAAGTCAATGGCAGAGCTGCTGGTGGCCAAGTGCTAAGGCGGGACTTCCTTTCCTCCCTCCCTTCCCTGCCTCCCTTTTTCTCATTCCCATCTCCTTCTGAAGGAAGAATTTGACCCCCCCCCCCATATTTTCCCTCTTCCATATATTGATCAAACAAGGAAAGGCCTCCAGAGACAGAAAAGACAAGCTGCTGAGTGAACTAGCTTAAAAAGGCACATTCCTCTTTAAGAATTAGCTACTGGCTAGAAAGGAAAGTAAGGAGCGCAGCCGGCACTTAAGGAAGAAAAAAAATGTAAGTACTGGCTGCCGGCTAAGGCAACCTCCCCAAATGGTTCCATTCATAAGTAAAGGAATGCTACAGGCAAAATCCATTCAGGAGAAAAATACTTCAAAATCCCTTGCAGCA